GGATCATACGGTTTCAAGAAGGCAACCAATGGACCGAAGTCACAGTTAGACCATTTATCAGGCCTGCCAGTCAGCATAGACTCCATTTTATTTTCATTTATGTGTAAAAACTTCACTGAAAGCCAAGCTTTAATATCCTGCAAACATTCAAACAGGGACAATAATGTGAAACTGTGGTCCAGTAACAGGTACGTAAATTTAGATGTCATCGGCATATCAGTGAAACAACAGCCCATAAGACCAGGCCAAGAATAGAGCCCTGGGGAACCACACAAGTGATGCCTACACACTCTGCAAGATGAGACAGTAGAATATTATAATTCACAGTATTAAAAGCAGCTGATAAGTCTAACAAAACTAGTAGTGCCGCATCTCCATCATCAGCAACATGGAGAAGATCATTTGACACCTGTAATAATGCCGATTCCATACTGTCATGAGATTTAAAACCAGATAGAAATTTTTTCAAAACTTCATTATTCTGAAGAAAGGACTGCAGTTGAATAAAAACAATCCGTTCCAGAACCTTAAATAAAAATGACAGTTTGGAAATAGGTCTGAAGTTTGATAACATGGAGGGATCCAGATGAGGTTTTTTTCAGAATAGGAGGAACTACTGCATGTTTAAAATCATCTGGTACAATCCCTGAGGATAAAGAACAATTAATCAGACTAAGAACAGTAGGACTGGTCTTTTAAAATTCTTTTTAAGCAAAGATGGGGGAGGATGTCAAGTGAACAGTACATGGGTTTAAGATGATGGACAACCTCAGAAAGCCATAAAAGCACAGAAGGATTACAACAGCACTAATAGTATTAAACAGTACGTTTGTATTATGGCTGTTATTTTCAATAAGCTGAGACGAGTATTGGGCCTTAGTGTCTTTAACAGCTATCTCACAAACCAACAAACTGATGATTTAGCTGCTGGTTTACAGCACCAGGGCAGACTGGCCAAACAGCAGAAGGTTTATAGCAGATATGTATAGTTTGTAATACTCAGTACAAGATTTATTGTGGCCACCAATCATGCCTCATCGTTATCATGTTCATCAGCAGAGTAAATCCCTGCAGTTCTTATTGCTAAACATAAAGTACATCAAAATGAAAGTATGAACTGAAAGTATACATAGGCCTTTTATAATAAAAAAATGTAGGTAACAGGAAACAGTAACAGAAGACAAAGAGATACAGTAGCATGGAAAACGTGAATGGAAGATATGCACAGTGGGGGCGACATAATGGGGAATGATCTATAGAGTTTGTTTTGTCAGAGGAAGAACAGGTGTGCACCATCACTGGCAAAAAGTTAACACACATAATTTCCTATCAACTGCTAGCGTTACTGCTCCTTCTTTGTTCAGGGCCAGCTTCTCAGTGAGCACATTGGTGCCCCTGTTTATCTAGTTTATTTATTTCATACACTTTTCCTGAGTATAAATCATGTTGATTTATATTATTGTATAATGCTGGTGACAGTATTGTAGAGCATTGTTACGTATTTGTATATACAGTATGTAGGTATGGTAGTCTATGCCTTATCATGCATATTGTGTATTATTGTATAGTACTGTTTAATTGTGTTACACCTGATTGACTCTATACCACATGTATTTGAGATTTGATTGTAACATTTATGTGTACTCAGGGGCTACAGATGAAAATTTGCCTCTGGCTAACTCTGGTGTATCACGAGAAATGGAATTAATATGCATTGTCCCTGACGAATAAACCAAACTACTGTAAAAATAAAGGTTAGTGCAGAGATGCAAAGAAAAACAAACATGGACTTCCATGTGTTTTAGAAAAGGAAGTACAAACTTTTCTTTGTAGACAGATGGAGTGATACATGGAGCCAGTATGACAACACGCCTCGGAGATGAAAAGTTTCAGGTTACCTGACACAAAGCCACACGTGAGGACAGAACAGTTTTGTTCCTGGGTGTGACTGCATAAAAGATGACCTAATATTTTGTAAGGTCTATAGTATGAAACACTGCCAATGTAATAGTTACCATGATCTAGAACACCAGCTCCCTCCTGAAACATCCAGAGTGTGTGTGCTGTGTCATGTTCATGTTGTTTTGTCTGCTGATAATCATTGAGTCATGTTGCAGGATGTTCTCCAACAAAGCTCATATGCTTTATAGCAAAGTTAAAAAAAGGACTAGACCAGAAATAATAGAAATGGATTTTCCACGCTCTGCATTTTTCATCCATCTGTCATTCTACAATAAACCCTACTACACTGCACACAGATTTTCCATGCTCTACATTTTTCATCCATCTGTCATCCTACAATAAACCCTACTACACTGCACACTCTCATGCAAATGCAAAGATAAAGCAATAGTTACCACATTTCCATGTGGCTACACAGCAACTAAACTGATCCCAGATCCCATTTTTTATATATTTTTTTCTGTTCATGCATGAGTTCAACTTATTTTCTGCCACGCATGCACACACATTCTCAGATGTCTGCCAGGATCTGTAATTACATACAGCAGACACTCTGTTAAGCTGCATATGTTTTGGTCTCTCATTTCTCTCTCTTTTTTCACAGAAATGAAACTTATAGAACATGTGCACATGTGCAAATGACCATGCACGCACGGCCACACTGGCATCAACATGCAGAGAGCAGTGAAAGACATTGATTGTTACGAGTGTGTGTTTATGGATAAACTCAGTCCTTTAACCCATTGTTAACCCTGACAATGTAGAGCAGAGCCAACCAGAGAGCAGGAAACCCTATCCTCTCTCCCTCTCCTTACTTGGATCAGGCTGCACTGTTGTGACCGTACGGTCCAACTTTACATTGTAAATATAACTATTAACAGCCTAGTTACAGAAAAGGAGATTAGATTAAATTTCAGTTCTCAGTAGCTATTCTCAAAGCCACCAACAAAATACACACTGATGCAAGTAATAGTCACAGTAGTTATTTATAAAGTGTAAATATAAATGAAGCTTTTAAACCAGTCTGTTAGAAACTCAGACATGTTATTATACCACGACGCCAAGTCAGAAGGAAATCATGATAACAATGTCAGTCCGCAAAGAGATATAGGAGTAAAAGTAACCAAAATTAAAACCACACACTGAATCCTGCAGATTTCTATGTTGTTGCTTAGGGATATGCTTCAAGTGGTGATTTTTGTCAGTTATTAAAAAGAACCCTGAAATCCTGAGAACACACGTGCAGGCAACAAAGCAGGGCCACGCCAGTGTTTTTAGGTTGCTTTAGTCTGTTTCTGTTGACTCCATGAGGGAAGAGCAAAAGCATTTCGACAACCAGCTGATGAAGACGAGTCCATGTGGGGATAACTGAAGCAGCAGCTAGTGTCAGTACTAGTGTTGATCAAATGAGACTAATGGCACAGGCTCACTTCATGACTTCACACAGCTTTTCTTAGCTGTCACCTGCCTGTCTGGCTCTGCCCCTTTAAGCAATGCCAGCTGATCTCTAGCCTTTCCTTAACTTTCTGTTTGCTCCTCTGTAACCCAACAGCCTGACCACCAGAGGCCTGTTTGTCTGTCTCTCTAAAATCATGTTTACACTTACTTGAGTTGTCAGGAGACTGTTACTAACTTTCATTTCTCAGCAATAAAATGCCAACATGACACCGGAGGACAGAACAGTACCCAATGTGGTTTTAAGATGGAAGCATAATGGTGAAACACTAGAGCACTCATCCAGTCTAAAATGTCTTATTCCTTGTCTTATGTTGTTGTCATGATATGACAACAACATGTGAGGTTTAATGTGCATATTGAGGATCAACTAATCAGCTATATATTGTGACACTTGTTACACAGCTACATGGTGAGTACGTGAGTCATTTGGTATAAAAAACTGATTATGTAATTTCCAATGTTCATTTTTTTTTTAGTGGTTATGTTTTTTTATGGTTTTATTTCATATGTTATGTTTTTTATTGCAGGATCTCTGCTGAAGGTCACTCTAAAATGTTGTTGTCCACGTTATAATGACAATAAAGGATTCTCTTATCTTATTCCTCTGAAATATGTATCACAGTCTGTTCTCATATGCCTTACAAAAAAGTTCTCTGAATAAAGAGAGAAGTGGCAAATCTAATAAGTGAAGTGCACTATGGGGCAGTTTGATGTAAGTCAAAGTAGACTGTAGCATGAGTGCAGTGACTTGACTTCATGCAGCCCAGAGCTTTCCATATGAATGGAATAAGTCAGGTCATGCAGCTACTTTATCAGGTGTCATCTGAGTGTCATGAGTAAATAAATAAGGGAAGCTACTGTAGAAATGGCCCAATGTGGCTGTGACAAAATACCGTTCTGATAGCCAAAACAGTGAAATGACTGTTAGGATGTCTCAATATTAACATTTCTAAAATGACTCAGTCCAAATGAGACAGTAACCTGAAGTGCTTTTAATAACAAATGAAGAAGTGGTGCAGAAACACTGGTGTTATTTTTAATATTCACTGTAAATTGATGTAAATTTTCCTTCTTTGGGACTTGATAATGTGAATGAATGCTATGACTGCAGCTTCTCTGTAAGTGGCCTCTGTGATGGAACAGATCAAGATCAGTATCTGCATGGGACTTACCTGTGTGGGCAAAGGCTAAAAAAAGGTGGTGTTATGCAAACTAGACAGGATTGTCATTTTCTATAAACTGCTTCAGACAGGGTCATTCCACTGAGCTTGAAATGACTGTTTTAACACCACCAGTGACAGAAAGGTCATTTCTAAATTTAAACCATGCATTTATAATACATGAATAAATAAATAAATAAGAACTACATCCACGAGAAGCATAGAAAACCAGTAAAACACCCTGATAAGAATATTTAAAAGACGGTACAATTACTAGAATCTGTCACCTGCCTTTCTGTAATCGTCCTATTGCCAAGTGGGCTGTGGTTTCTTTGAATTTCTCTATACTACAAGGCAATACAAACGGTCTGAGAGTAGTTTCACTTTCAGTTGTAGAGAAAGTCTTGCCCGTTTACCATTGGAGGCGCAGACAAGCCTGTTGGGAGGAGTAAGGGCTGGGTCAAACCAGAGAGACATATAAAGCCTGAGTGTTTACCGAGTGTCGAGCACAAGACTATGGTTAGAGGGGTGGAATCACAGCCAGCGGGTCTATAGGTTGCCTGTGAGCTGTCCCCCTCCATCCTGCGCGGCGTCACGGATTTGCTGCAGGACATTTGCTGCTGTCGTTGCAGCTGCTGCGCTGTTGGATTACAGACAAACGGATCTATAAAGAGCCGCTGCTGTTAGAACAAAACGGTAAGACTTCTCACTGGAGCTTTTGACCAAAACCAGCCAGGTTTTGGTCAAAACGGTGCTGTGAACCATTCATGGCTGCTTTTCTTCTGCCTGGGCAATGGAAAAATACTGGAATAAGATCCCATTTCTCCATGCTTATGTTTGGACAAGTGTGCATTATGGGGTGCGTTGGCAGATTGAGAATGAGGCTGTAGCTTCTCCCCCCGTTGATTCTGTCCAGCTGAGCTGCTTCCTGTGGACGGTGACACAGAATGAATAGGTGTACACAGCTTTTAATAATAAAGACAGATTCACTGGTCTCATCCCCATGATTTAAACATGTGATTGTGATGTCTGTTTAAGAAAACGTGTTAATCATTAGTTTTTCCTGGAATTTAAAGTCATGTTAATAAACAGGTTTACAATGAAGTAGACAAGAAAAGGTTAATCATACCAAATGTGGTGATGTCCCACCCATCTGGTTTGGCCTAGGCCCCCTGGGGCCAGAGTCAATTTACCACTGTGAAAGATGTCTTGTCTTGGGAAAAGTCACACAGAACAAGAAATGTTGGCTGTATGTATTTATTTATATTCATCACTGGCCTAAAAAAAAAGTGCTTTCAACCTAATATTTCAGTCATTAGTACAGAAGTGATAAAGAACAATAATTCTTTTAAGCAACACGCAACACAAACATTTCTGGGTGTGTGTTTGTAGAGTACAGTATATCTGACATCAGCCCTCTAGCCAAACCGCAGATTCCAGTATTATCATATCAAGTGTCACACAATGGAAAGCTGAATGAATTTCTAACCAACATTCACTGAATTATGCATGCGCGTGCACCCAGGTGCACGCTCTTCTTGTAGATCAACAGGGCCTTACAGGTCCTTGTCTTTTCAAGCTGCTTGCAACTTGGAGCAGTAACATTTACATACTCTGTCTCGGTTTTCAGGAAGATGTGACTCGTGTCTGACTTTACTTTGTTCATGGTGTTGTACAAGTCATTGTTTTGATGGTAACTGGTGGTTGTGTATAAGATAATAACTTCTTTTCTTTCTCTTTGTCTCTCTCAGGATGACTGTGTGGTGGTTAGAGATGGGAGAGGGTTTGGGGCCACTCTCCCCTGTAGGATGGTAGCCAACAGCACAGTGGAAGGTCATGACAAGACTTGCTTGTCAAGCTCATCATCATCATCCTCCTCTTCCTCCTCCTCCTCCTCATCATCAACACTCCACACAGAGTCGAAGCAGCTGCAGCATCAGGCTGCTCCAGATCCGAACCCGCGTCTAGCGCCTGTCCCCTCTGTGTACCTGACCCACTTCCCTGTCTTCTCCTGCAAGGAAGACTGCAAGGTCATCACAGAAACAGCAGCCAGGCTCGAGCGCAGCGGCTTCTACTGGGGTCCTCTGGGAGTGGAGGACGCACATCGCATGCTGCGGGACGCTCCTCTGGGCAGCTTCCTCATCCGCGACAGCCGGCAGAAAGACATCTTCTTCACACTGTCCTATCACGCCAAGAGCGGCCCAGTCAGCGTGCGCATCGTCTATAAAAAGCAAAAGTTCTCATTGGCAGGCAACGAGCACTCCTTCCCGACGCTTTTTGCCTTGTTGGAGCATTACATCAATTCTCCCAAGAAAAGCCTGAGCATCCCGTACAGGAAATGGGAACCGACGCTGCAGGAGCTGTGCAGGAAGCGCATCATGGAGCTGTGTGGTGGAGCAAGCTGCGTTTCAGAGCTGCCACTCACCCATGTTGTCCAAGACTTCCTGTTGGAGTTCCCTCACAAACTGTGACCAGCTTGCTATGCAAGGTTGTGGCTGTATTTCTTTTTATTTTAAGAAGTCAGATTTCATCAAGCAAGAGCAAACTGGAGGGGCTGGTAAAGCCTGGCCATCACGTGTTGGAGGCTAAAGCTGCGTTGACATGGTTACAGATCAACTCAGCTCCCTGCTTTGAGCTGAGAAGCTGCAAAGTGTTTCTTAAGAGACATGATCAAAACAGCCAAGCAGAGACAGTCTCCAGTTGGACGGGGTCCAAGCGTAACATTTCAGCATACATTACCTCTAAGGACTCAACTCTCAGTTGGACAGAGCGCCATTTGGTGCTGAGGAAGCACGAAAAGTTGGGAAAGGCTGCATTAAGAGAAAACTACAGACACAGCAGAGCTATCACAGTTCTAGAAACTGTAAGGTCTGTTGTTGCCCATCTGTGGCGACAGGCCCAGAACTATATCGGTGTGGATTTCAGAAGGACATTAATAGCATCAACAGAGTGGACTTTTAAAAATATGGAGGCCTGGTGGAGGACACGGTTGAAACTCTCACAGGTAATAGGACAGATTTTTGTAGCATATTTTAAAACTCTAAAGTTGTTGAATGTTTACATCACACATGAATGTCAACCAGCACTGTTGGGTGAAAAGACCCTTGAGGTTGTTTTTGAATTCAGTTTGCAGTGGAGTGTAACCCAGAGCTAATGTTGTGGTGGAGGCCTGGGGTTAAAAGTTGTACTGTATGTAGAGGTGTCTCATCTCTTTTTCAACCATCTCTGCCAGGCAGAGAATAACTTTGTGAAATATATAAACATATTTTTTTATTTTCTACTATTATATTTGAAATAAAACATATTTAAACTGATCTTGCTGGATTTCTCTAGTTACTTTTCAACCCTTGTATTCCTGTTCCCACAGTCATGTCATGCAGAGGAGTTTACAGGGGTGAAACAAAAGGGACAAATGATGTCCATGCTGTCACAGACAATAGAACAGACAGTCTTACAGGAAGTGCGACAAGGTAGCGTACAGTATCGTCACCACAGTGATTCATCTCTGTAGGCTAAAGTGACAGGTGGGTGGGGTTACTATGGTAGTAAATGGACTGTGTTACACTTAGAGACACACACACACACACACACTTACCAGAAACAGGGGCAGAAGTGACACATACTTTTACCCTCATCAGGACCCAGTTCAGATTAAAATTTCCTCAAAAGGAAGTGGGAAGTTTTTGGGTTAGTGGTTAGACAGACGGACATGTTGCGATTAAGGTTGGGGTCAGAGTTACTGTAGAACTGCTGTGTAAATAATCAGACTGGAAAAAAGTAAAGCAACTAAATGAGAATTAAGAATTTGGCAAGGAAAACTCAGACAAGGGACAAAAAGACAGACAAAACCAAACATCGACTGTACCAGCCACTCTATAAATGTGAAGTGATGTAATAGATGACTGCTCTTAATCAAAGGACTACCACTGTTAATTATATACTGACTGAAATATGTTTCTGTAAGGGATGCGTCACCACTGAAACAGGTGGATATACCTGATTTGAGTGCATGACTCATAGATGTTTATGTTTGACACACATACTGTACACACTATATTTTATTCATGGTAGCAGGGAACAAATATCCAACTGAAAGTGCCTCTGAGGATGAGCCTAACCATCTTTGAGAATGAAGCCATGCATTCTTACAAAAAGCCGTTGCATAAAACCAAACTGTTAAAAACGTTACAGCAGAAGTCTATGAAACTTCCTCCTGATCTGGACTACCAGAGTTCAACTGCTGCATTGGTCGTGGTACTGTAACATTCATTGCGTAGTGTAACCTTAAAATGAAGACTATCATGCTTATGAAAGAGTTGGACTGACAAAAAAACAATGAGGCTTCATCTTTTTTTCAAGAACAACACTGATGTTTCTTAGAAATGTTAGTGTCTTCCCAGTCACCCAGACTCTGCCAGGTTGCCCTCCCTTCTCTGCATGTTGTGTTTGCATGCCACAGTTGCCGAACACTAGCTTTCAATACTTAGAACTCACAAAAAAGAAACAGAGGTCTCTTTCAAGAAATAATATCTGATATTGTCACCC